ACAAAGAGACTGACTTTAGCACTTCCAAATTATTAAGTTGAAAGGAACTGCAAAGCTCATTAATTTTTCAGAGAGAAGGTTAGAAGAAAAAGTTTTGTAAATCCTCTTCAGAAGCTTAATGAGGAGGAGGGGAAAAGACAATTCATTAAATGAAAAAAAAGAAAACGTTAAGCAGAATCTAACAAAGTCTGACCTTTCAGAGAAAGAATTGAATAATCAGTCTAGAAAGTATTTTGTAGTAATAAATTCTCCCAGCTCTACAGACGTTCTTGGGTTGCTGGCCAGTGGAATGCCAGTGTGGGCTTATCTGAACCGAGCGGCATTGAAGCTGTTTTTTAAATGCTGGCGAAAGATGCTCTTCCTCAGTGAGGCAGAAGAGTACGATTCTTCGCTGTGGTGTGGAGTGAGCCACAACCACATGACCTAGATCTGCAAATGCAGCAAGGCACTGCAACCCCTACATTATTGGCAAATCCCACATTCTGGCCTTCAAAGACTTTTTCTCTGTGATGTGGAGATTTTAGTTGGATCATATTGAGATACTTGGAAAGCATCAGTTCCCCCCTCAAAACAACAAGGGTACCACCAGGGGAATTGGCTTAGACTCGACTTGGCTCAGTCTGGAACCTTTGCCTCAAAGAGCTGGCTAAGGGTGTCACACAGAGAAAGGACCATCCTGCTGCTTTCTGCTGTATTTCTTAAATTCTCTGTTTTTCCCTCACAACCTCATCTTTCTCAGCAAACATCCCAAATCAATGATAATCTGACATGAATGTCATAAAAGGAAATGAAAGATGAGAAGGGGACTATCAATACCTTGCTCTCACCCCTCAAGTCAACAAAACTTTCAGACAATAACGTTTTGGTGTTTAAACCACCATTTGGTTACACAACCCTTGCAAACTGATACATTTGTGTACCTGAGGGAGTTGCTCATGTTCAACATTCCACTCCTTAAACAAGCACTTAGGAGTCCTTTCTGTGCATTATCCCTTAGATGAGCTCTGTGATGAGGGAGGGTGAGGCTGTGGCTCTTAGCCTCTTGGGCTCTGCCACCCAACACAGTTACCACTGACCTTATCAGCTACTGAGCACTTGAGGTGCTATATAGAATGCAAAATATATATTAGATTGCAAAGACCATATAAAAAGAATAAAGTGTCTCATTAGTACACTCTATGTTTTGTTTGGAAATGATAATATTATTGATATTGTGGGTTAAATAAAGCACAGTATTAAAATTAATTTCACCGATGTCTATTTAAAATATTCAATTCAGCTACTGGAAAATTTTTAATTATACACGTGGATGACAACATATGGCTATTGGAGCCTGGAGCTCTTGGGCAGGCCTGGAGTAGACTCAGCAGTAAGTTAACAGGTTACGCTAAAGCAACTGTAGCTAGGTCTTCACAGGCTATTGGAATTTGAGAATAGGAGCCATTGGCAAGTTGGGAGCATTATGTGATAGAGGAGCAAGTATGCCAAGGCCAACTTAGGCCTTCTTGGGAAATTGCAAGGAACTATGTAGACTCTCCAGCAGGTCCCAATGGAGGAGTGTGAGGAGGCAATGAAAAACCAACAATAGCTTCATTGTATGAATGCTCCAAAGCCAAGAGCTGACCCCTGGCCCAGATTCTTCACATATATCTGTTCCTTTAATTCTCACTGCCCTTGCAAAGGCACCTATTATACCCACTTTAAGACAAGGACACTGAAGCCTGAGACGTTAACTTCTTTACTCACAGCAGCACAGAATAGGGCTTGGATAGCAGAAGAGAGCCCACTTGTGAAAAAGCTTGTATATCAGAATTAAAATATAAAATTAAGGGAAGAGGGCAGGAAGATGCTAATTCATTATTCTTGCAGATGATAAGGTGGCCATGAAATATTTTGGGCAAAAGGCTGAGTTGTCACATTTGGATTTAGAACAACAGAAGCTCTGGTAGTGGAGGAGAGTGACAGGGTTAGAGGTTGTGTGTTCAGGTTCCGGGCTTTGATGTGGAAGATTAACTGGACAGTCTCCTGTGACTGCAGCTCTTTAGGAGGCATTCTACAGACAAAAGTCAAATTCAGATGTCTGGAAGTGGACAGAGTTGGTCCAACTGAAACCAGTGTGGAACCTGGGCCTCTTTCTTGCTTTCTTCAGAAGTGGCTGCTGTCTGACATTAGCCCATCCTGGCCAGGACACTTGAAGAGCTGGGAAAGCCCGGGTCAGCAGCAGGGTTGAGACCAGAAGAAGAAATAAATGAGACATCTGCCTTGGAGCCCCACCTCTGGGAATGAGCAATTAAAGGAGTGGATGTGAGTGAAAATCTAGCCAGGCTTTATCTTTGGCTCCCAGGGCTTTCTGGCATGGGCTTTAAAATGTACATCTCTGGGGTCCTCTGGAAGTATTTCTATCTTATTTTCTGAATTCTGTCTTATTTCTAACATGTGGGTTGTGTCATACCTTTCTCTCAAGAGTAATAGAGGAGAAATACCTCTAAGGAAACGATTTGATTCTTAAAAAGCAATTCTTCATACAATAGCACTTATCATGTGATGAATCGGGGCTCACAATGGTTTTAATTCTGAGATTCGAAGTTGGGCAACCACTGCCATCAGATGAGATGGGTCTTCTCCAGAAGATGACCTCATAGCCACTAACGGCCCCACAGAGGTCACTGGAGAACCCTCTTCTGGTTTCTGAAGCATGTGGTGTAATGAAGTATCCAGGTTTTGATGTTCTCGTCTTCTGAACTTGAATTCCTATTCTGTTGTCAACAGGCTGACCTTTGACAAATGTCTTCTTTCAGCCAGAGACATCATATTCTCTTAAACACAGACCTCCCTTGGGAGAGTGCCTGGCATAGTTTGTGTAGTCAAAATGTTAACTCCCCTCCTGTGGCTGTCTCCTTAAGCATAGACCATACAGTGTAAGAATGGGCAGTAATAGAAGAGAAAAATGATCGACAAGTGATCATATTTAGGAAAATGGTGCCGATATTAACCAAAACCACCCACCCATACATGCAAAAATCTAAGTTAGGGGTAAAACTCATGACTGCTATGTTTAAGGTGAATTGTGATCATCGTACACCCTGTGGGCAGAAGGCGCTTCTCTTAGATGGTGGACTGCAAAATATTCCTGTCCCCTGGGTGACGCTTTGCTCTAGGAGACTGAGCTAATTTCCAACAGTCACTTGTCTCTGTTCACCACAGAGCCCTGGGCAGGGTGAACACAAGGCGGGTAGAGTCCTCCTTGGAATCTCAAACAGACACAGTTCAGACAGAGCTAATCCTGTTTTCAGATTGGCAGTGGGTTGGTCAGTGCAATGACAAGTACATTCATAGACCTGAAAAACTGCACAACATTGAACTTTAAATACAAATAAGACCACTACAAATACTTGTCACAACTGACTTGCTACATGTTCTTGGTAAGTTAATGAGTTCCTTAAGGTGATGTACAACAATATTGGGTCTTGATAATTTAAGGAAAAAAGACGAGTAGCAAAGAGAAAACTGTTAAAGCTTGAAGACTGGAAAAATAATTGTAGCTCTTTTTCTATGAAAAGCGGTAGGACTGAAATCATTTTTAGTTTTTATTTTTGGGTTAACAAAATTAAACATTTGTACTAACTAAAGGGACAGATTTATATAAATGATGAACTTTTTAAAAAAAGAAGTTCTAATGCTTTAAATGCTCTAAATTCTAGGATTGTGTTAACCATATGTCGCTTAGTGAAAAAACCACTTTAATAAAGAAGGAAGAATAGTGTGGAATGAGCATTTCAAATATGAAATTTTAGCTATGCCAACTTCTACTTATGCTGAAATTACTCATATCTAATAAATTGCTTTTTTATTATGTGGAAACAATGTTTTCCTTGAGTAGGCAGCAATTCCAGTAACCCCGTTATTCATACTATTTATTTATTAAAAATAAGCATAAAATTTAAATTTTTCAAGGCTAAAATCATAAACTCCAAATTAGTATAAATTAGTAAGATTTTACTGTAGCAATTTCTAAATGATAGTAGTAAATTTTAGGAAAAGCTATTGAAATTAAAATGGGAGAAGCAATAAGATAATTTGGAAAATGCCGAATTAAAGGTCTAGTTCCATCCCAGACCTCCTAATTAAGATGTTTCTATATCTATATTAGCATCTAAATGAAAATAATCCAATTATGGACATAATGAAATTTGTCAGATTTTGGTTTTTGTGCAAAATTGGAATCAGAATCACGATGTTCAGACCTTCAATGAGCCTTACTCTTCACTGATACTAAATTTACATTAAAAAGTGAACATGGATATAATTGTTATTAACTACAGTACCCATGTGGGTACTGTAGATCTGTTGATTTTTTGCCCTCCAATATACCTGAAATTTTGTGTCCTTTAACTAATATCCCTCCAACTCTCAACCTCTTAGTCCCTGGTAAACACCATTCTTTTGTTTTTATAATGTGAACACTGTTAGTTTCCACGTGAGTCTTTGTCTTTCGGGGCCTGAATTATTTTACTTAGAATATTGCCCTCCAGGTTCATCCATATTGTTACAAATGGCAAGATTTCCTTCTTTATTAAAGCTGAAAAGCCTCTGTACCACATGTTCTTTATTCATTTCGCCGTTGACGGACATGCATGCTGATTACATGTCTTGGCTATTGTAAGACCACAGTGAACACAGGAGTGCAGATGTCTCGTTGACACACTGATTTCATTTCCTCTGAATATATACCCAGTAGTGGGACTGCTGGGTCATATGGCAGCTCTATTTTTAATTTTTGGAGGAACCTCCACACTGTTTTCCAAAATGGCTACACCAACATAAAACTCCTCCCAACATGGTGCAAGGGTCTCCTTTCCTCTCTCTACATTCTAGCCAGCACTTGCTACGTCTTATGGTTTTAATACTTGCTATTCTATCAGGTACATGATGATATCCACTGTGGTTTTAGTTTCCTAAAAGTTGCAAGAAAGATTTTAATTATTCTCACAAAAATAATGTCAGATAATACATATGTTTATTAGCTCAAATTAGCCATTCCATACATAGATACATATTCCAAATATCATGTTGTATGCTATAAATATATGCCATTTTGTCACCTAATTTTAAAAGACAAGAGCCCATGGAATGGAGCCCACTCTTGGATCTTCCTTGTTAGTGGACATTTTCTTAAGTTTTTCTCTTCAGGTTTTCAATCAAGGGCAAAGTATTTCTGGAATGGCAACTAGAGCCGCATAATGACAAGCTGACGTCAAGGTCTCACGTAGTATCATGTTTTATTTCACAAATGTCACAAAGTTTTCAAACGATCCATCCTTTCTGTACCATACATGCTTACAGGGATGAAACCATTTTTATCAAGAAAATAGTTGTTAAAAGAAGCTATATGAAAGTATTGATAATTATTGGTTAATTTACTGTAAAGGCGTTGAATATATGTGTAATATTCAGTAATTCCATTTTCAGATCATATGAGCGACTTCTTACAGTAGCCTCTACGATGAGCTATTGAAAACTTAGTGGAAACATGAAAATATTTTTGGGTCAGAACCATAAATTTCCAAAGCAAAATCTGTTCAGATTAATGATGAATATCCGATTGGGAATGCATAAGAAAAACCCAAAAGCAACGCTTTTCCCCAATCTCTTTATGAACATCAGCTTTACTCAAGTGTATGAAGTCTTGTCTTAGATTCATTTTCAACAAACACAATTTATTTGAATATGTCCAAAATAAGAAGGCTTAGATTTTTCTTGCTCTAGGAAATTTGCTTATACCCTTTTTCTTATTTTTCTTCCTAAGTCTGAATTTCTGCATTGCATGGAATTTTCTTCTGGTGACTGTTTATCAGTTGGTGCCTCTTCAGAAGGAGAAGCCAAAGTTTTCAAGCTGAACAATGTGTCCTATAAAACTATTCTACGAGGCAAATCTTGGCATGTCACAGAAAATTTTCTTGCAGATCTATCAGAATTGAGGCGCTATCTCTGGAATCTACGGAAATCTTCACTGCTCCAACTTCCTTCTAAATTAGTTTAGGTTATATGTAGGGGATGGAAAGATTAGATTTTTGAATACTTCAGACACAGTAATCAATGAAGACTTAAGTCATCACTGTGTCTCATCTGCCTAAGAAATTAAATAAGAGAAATTTAAGATAATCTGCAGTGATTCCCAATCTTGTCAAATTTGACATCAATGGAGCACGAACCAAATGTGATGTCAGATTCAGAGCACATTTGCTTTTCCCTCATAAAATCCAAGAAAGTCTGGAATAGGTCATGTTAATTGGCAACAATAAAGGCAGAAAAGGAAGGAAAGCAGAAAGAGGAAAAGAGGAAGAATGAGTGGAAGAGGGAAAGAAGTGAGAAAAGGCAGATGGAAAAAATGTTTTCTAAAATGTAAATTTGGGGAAAACTCACCTAAATTCATATGCTTCAGATGGTCTAAAAAATAAGAATGCCTTCCCTCAACTTTCTCTCTTTTTTGTGAGAGAAATAAACAGTAATAATTGTATGACAAATACGTTGTGATCTGCTAAATGCAGGTGTTTTTGTTTCAATTGTGTGGTTTACATCAAACATTGCTTTCCTATCTATAAGTGGCCACAGTTCTTTTTGTATCAGGTAAGGGCAGATTTTTTCCTTCAGTGAAAACCTATTTGCTCACCCTCAAAGAAACTGTGCAAGGAATCAACAAGATACTTTCTGATACATTCCAAGGTTGTGTCTTAGAATTTGTGAATCAAAGATACACAATGACATTTCCTTCTGTCTGTGTGTCCCTCCATCTATCCTACCAACTAGCTAACATTAATCTGATGAGTCTCTCCCTGCTGCCTGGTCCTGCCATAAAAGCTGGTGGTGAAATATGGACAAAAAGACAAATTATCCATCTTAATAACACCACCGGAGAGGTTTAAACAGACATTTACATAATCATGTAAATAAATATGTGGTTGAAAACTGCAATGAATGACATGAAAGGAAATTATGGGATGCTACAGACCAGTAATATTTAGAGCTATAACGTGTACAGAGAAAAACAAAAATGAAAGAGGCATCTTTCCACAGCCAAAAAAATACTCAAAGAAGACATCGTATTACTTATTTGCGCTCAAATAAAACTTCTTAGGTTTTGGCCTTAAAAAAAAAAAAATTCTGCCACTCTAAAAAGTACTTCAAAAATAAACAGCAGAAAATGTTTATTTATAATAGTTTAATAGGCTAATTTAAAATAAGTTAGAAGGTTTCAAGAGAAATGAAAATGAAAAATCTGAAGGAGATGGATTTTATCTTAACAGAAGAGCAGCCCTGGACCAAGCATGGGGGGATCCAACCTCACCGAACGTGTCCTGGGTGTGTTACCTGAGCCAAGTCACGCAGCCTTTCTCTCTCAGCCTGCTTGCTCTTCTTAAGTCCCTGGCACATCCACCTACAGGGTCCTTTTAAGGAGCATAGGAGTTAATGGACGTCAAAGTGCTTTGCACTAGCAAAGCAACTGTAGAACAAGAAGGGAGAATTCAAAGCATTAATAACAGTGGAGAGCGGGGTCATCCCTCTGAGAGGAATTATAATCGGCTGCCACAAAAGACTTCATCTGCTAAGTAAAAGATACCATTGTGTATTTATCTTTCCATTGCTTACCAATCATCCAAAGCAAAATCTTATCCCAGTATTATTCTAGACAATTACCCAGAATGTCATACTTAATCCTGAAAAGACTAGTAAAAGCTTTTCACAATAAATAACCATGTATGCACTCGAGACTCAACTTAACTTTTACTCAGAGTGGAAAAAGGCATTGTTCTGAAATACATGCTGGCTGTTTTGTTTTGTTTTTTTTCTTTTAGATGTATATTCAAGGACAATGGAGTAAAATAAAATTGAAAAGTCTGACTTGAGAGAAATGCCATTTCAGCCAGAGGAGTTAGGCAGTAATTCTCACTTGAGTTCATCTCTTTAGCAGGCACCCATATTTTCACTTTAAAAGCCATTATATTTGCTACTGACTCCACGAAGGGCATTTCTGAAAACACAAAAGCTCCATGGCCACCTGCCTCGCTTGATTAATGCAGCTATTCCAAGAAATCATGGCCTGAACCAGACTCCTTAGAAGGAATCACTTACAGCGCAACTTCAAGGATTTCAAGACAGGTTCCCCCAAAGATGCACAGGAGATTTTACAAATAGCAATCATCTGCAAAATGTTCTGAAAGAGACTCCTCTGCAATTAAGTCCATCACACTAAATAACACCTTCAGTTGTTGGTGTGTTACCATCTCAGATAAGGCCAGCAATTAAAGAGAAATTGAACACTTGGAAATAAAGAAGGATTTTAAACACAATCAAGGAATGTGTTATGTATGACAAAGTTTTAAAAATATTTTAGGAAGAATTATTCAGTTTTCTCAATTTGATCTACTTGGCTCATCATGTTTCCACTGCTTGAAAAAGGAAGTGTACATAAAGTATGAAATCCCTCAGATTAACACAAACATATTTTATTAAAGAATGAATGCATGTTTGCTAAAGAATACTTTACATATATCATAAAGTGACAAGCATTTCTTCAGGAGACCAGTTCTCCTCGATGCGACTCCATGCTTATTGTTCATGCCTGAAAATCCGACCCACACATGGGAACACGCCTACGCACACAGAGACGAGTATACAGACACACAGGTACACAAACCAAAATGCCGACTCCATCACTCTGAATTAGATTAGGTCTCATTTAAGGCTTCTAAGGTGCCCCAGTGCCCCTAACATTACAAGGAATACAAACAGACTTCCATCAAGGAGCAATCCTACCTGGGAACGTAATGATCAGTTCTCAGCCTTAAATGCACGTATTTTAACAAATGCTTTCAAATTCCATGTGGATTCTTCATGACATTTAAAGATTCATGAAACTGAGAAATCTGTGCTTTCTTAGCAAGACTTTCTCATGATGAATAATAAACAAATGGGCAATGGGAATTCTCGGACACGGGGAACTTTATGGTAACAAGGTAAGATTTCCCTTTAGATTGAGATGGACATGGATTTTCTAGACAGGCTGAGTTTATCTAACTCACTCCCTGTGCAAGGTGAAGTGATGGAGGCCAGGCTTCCTTGGTGGTCCCAAATCAGACTGGAAGCCATGAAGGATGCATCCAACAGGACATCAGCCAAGTAAGTTACCAAGACGCAGGGTTGAGGAAAGGACAGCCCCCAAAGGGTGGGTTCACTTGGTGCTCACTCACTGCCTCTCTCTGGCGTTGCTGCTATTTTTCTAAACTCCTGGCTGGTTTGCTTGTTATTTATTTCATTTGCTTCCTTGTTTTCTTCCCTTTTGGTGTCCTGCAGTGCAGGCTATGAGAGAATCCCTCCCTCTAGGGATGCTGGCAGGAGAAAGAAGGCGGGCAGTACAGGAGGAGGGAAGGGATTATTAGTAGCTGCAAGTATTCTAAGAAAATAGATGAAGTGAATACAATAAGAGGGTACTACTCGATATATTCGTGTAAATAAAAGTATTATCTGTAACTGCGAACTAACTGCCAACTATCGGGTTGTTAGCTGCAAAGCTGGAGGAAGGCTGTGCGATCTGCATACTGAGGAGAGTCTGAATGCGGCATGGGAGGGGCCGTGTCAGCCATCCTGAGCTTTCCTTCCTTCCACCAGGGGCTTCGCACCAGCATTAGCACCCTCCACCGCCCACCCTGGACAGAACCCACAGTGCCTTGACACATTGCTGTTGGTTTTCATAAGGCAGATTGGAATGGTCCGTCACTCACAGCCGCAGAATATTTGGCTGAGAGTGGTGAAAACCGGCGTGGAACTCTCCCCCCAGGAGGTGTTGGACTATGAGGGAAAAATAAGAAGTCTAGAGCCTTCCTCCCCGGCCACGCTCCCACCCTCTGCGAAGTCACAGCAGCAGCAGCAGCAGCAGATTTCAATGTCACGGAATTACTTTAATGATACATCTCTTTAGATTTAGAATTGCTCATCTGCATTTCAAAAGCATGGTCAGTGCTCGCTCACTTCGGCAGCACATATAATCAAAAGCATGGTCAGCCAATGGTCGGGCAGTCTTTTCATCCCAAATTTGAATGGTTGCTTATTCATCTCTCCCGTTGAGCCCCTTGACCAATGCTGCCTTCGGTGGAGCATCTCAAGTTCGTTCAGCCATCGTCAGACTCCAGTTCCTGGGAAACCTCTTCGGAGGAGCTGTTCCTATGGATCCGCCCGTCGCTCTTCATACTGTGGAAAGTCTTCTTGAAGGCCTCCATCATGGCGTGGGCCAGCTTCTTGGCCTCCAGCTTGCTCTCGCATTCCACAGCGTGGCAGTCCATCTGGTAGGACAGGTCATCGTTGATCTCCCTGTAAACCCAGGCGAAGATGTTGGGGCTCACGTTGTGGTCAGCGGTGCAGTAGGCGATGCGGGCCACCTGGAAGGTATCCATATGCACCGTGGCCTCGCCTTTGTGGTCGAGGTGATGCAGCCACACTTGGAAAGGACGGATCTCCAGAAGCGCGTTGGCTGGGAAGACGTCTTCTCGGGTGAGTGTGTGCTTCTTCCAGAGCTCAGTCACTGGCTTCTCCGTGCAGCCTGACAAGAACTGCATGCCTGTGGTAGAGACTTTGCCCAGATAGGTGACCTGCAGGGGAAGAGGAAGCAAAGGAACAGGTGATCAGGGGGCTCTTCACTCAAGCAGAGCAGGTGAGTGGGTCTCAGACAGTCACAGCATCCCCCTGGAGAGGTGCACAGGCTTTTTTCTTGTCCCTTGGGAGACGAATGATAATCAGAATTTTTACCTTTGCTCTCTAACAAGCTGTCTGCTTCACAAACGTATTGAAATTCCTTAAACACATTTGGATTTTTAAAATGTAATTTCTAGAGAATTGCTCTCCCTCCCCTCCCTCCCTCTTAAGTTAAAAAGGACTGATTATGATCTTTTATGTAATTTGACATTTCTTTAAAATCACAAGGTCACTCAAAGTTTATTTTCAAGCAAACACACACACACAGAGAATTTAATGATAAGAAGGAATCAAAAGGATGCTGCATCTGGAAAACAAGACCTTTATTAAACTTATCTCCTTGCTTGCTTCCCTTTACAAATCTTTCAGTGTTGGATTTCAGTTAGGCCTCTCACTTCTAGCAAATGCCCAGGATGCAAAACTGTTCTATTTAAATTATAGTCCAAAGCATGATTGTTTTCTCTCACAAGATAATTTTTAAAAATGCAGCCATGATTACTTATTCTTCAACCTAAACAGATTTGAACTGATGGGCATCTGGTTGTGTGATAATAAATGAAAGATCCATAGACAAGACTAGAATGCTGGCTTATCAAATAGCTCCACAGGCAGCACTCAAACTAAGAAAAACAACTCTGAATGATTCACATCCCGTCTTCTTAAAAACTTGTTTATGGTGTACTAAGAAAAGATTTTCATTCTTTCAATTTTTTCCCCTACATCAAAATGTATAGTACTGCTACCATGGGAACATGGGGATTATGGAAATGCAGAAAACCTAAGGGATCAATTAAGAAATAATACAAACTAGTATATAATTAGGCTAAAAATTAGTGACACTGAAATAAATACCAAAAATGTGAGGAGAGGCAGCCCAGAAAGAGGTGCAGGGAAATGGGAACAACTGAGGAAGGACACAATGTTTCCCATCAGGGACCACACAGAGTACATACAAAACATCTAAGACACTGACATGAGGTGCTATTGCACACCTTTGTGCTCTGGTTACCCCTCAAACAAGAGTTAGTGAGATGTTACATCTTAGTAAAGAGGTACAGGCATTGTGTAGCCTGGACATATTGAATGTAGACCTATTTTACACCTATTATACTGTTGCTGGGTGAGCCACACAAAGCAGGGGATATGAAAGTGAAATCAACAGGAAGGAAATAATTGCTGATCCATGCAGAGAGGGTTTCAATTCTAGCTCCACTGTGCACCAGGAGGGTGGTTCTGGACCAAGCTCAAGAGCCCTCTGATGGTGAACAGCGAGGGCAAGGAGCACAGTTCAGTGCCCGGATCATGATGCAGGGGAGGGATGAGGCCTTGAGGACAGAGGTATCAGGGAGGTGAGTCAATGGATTTCTAGGCATCGGGACTCAGAAGCCGGGAAAGAGCGCAGCAAGCTGAGGAGAGGTGAGGCTGCCCCAGAGAAAGTCCCAAGCTGCCTGGGGAAACCACGCATCAGGCCCCGAGGTGTTGTCAGAGAAGAGCTCTGGACACTGCTGGATGGAAGCAAGTGAGGAAGGGTGAGCAACTACAGGCACAGGTGAGCCTGCACACAGCCTGAGGAACCGGAACTTGGCTGACAGGATGCACGGCCACCAAAGCTCAGAGCAAGGAGGGCCTGGATGGAAGGGGTGTGAGCCCTGAAGACCCACCTGATTCCAGGTTGACTCAAGGCAGAAGCCCAGTCAGGAGGCAAAGGTGTTAGGGAAAGACAGGAGGAGCGAGGATTGGTGCTGCAGGGGTAAAACTGACAGTGCTTGGCAAGAGTTGGAGGAGGAAAGTGACTCCGATGTTGGAAGTACCCATACTCCCAAGGAGGCGACCAGTCAGGCACTATGTTGTCTCTCTGGATCAGAGTCAGAATAGATAGGTGGATTTGCAGCCAGGCATGGTGGCTCATGCTTGTAAACCAGCACTCTGGGAGGTTGAGTCTGAGGATCTGCAAGTTTGAGCCTAATTGGTGCAACTTAGTAAGACCCTGACTCAAAATAATAAAATAAAATTAAATTAAATTTCAAAGGGTTGGGGATGTAGCTAAGTATGAAGGCCTTGGGCTCAATTCCCAGTACTGCAAGAAAAAAAAAGGTAGGCTTCTCAGAAAATACATAATGCAGACTTCTTGAATAATATCTGTGTTTTACATTCAGTGAATTTTCTGGTTTTTGGAATTTTCTGACATCTTTATTGTTTTTTTCACAGCTTACTATTTCTTTTAATGGAAGTGAAGCCCATGTGATCTAAAAACTGACCAGTTTAGAGCGTTCTTTAGTAGTACATAATACAGCCACAATACTATACAACTTTCAGCTTTGTCAATTTCCAAAACAGTTTTGTTACCCCGAAAGGAGACTGGATACCCATTAGGCAATCAACCCATTGCTCAATCCCCCAAGCAGCTGGCAACCTCTAATCTGCTTGCTGTCTTATTTAGGTCATTCCTACAAATGGAATCATATGAGACCTTTTATCTGCTGCTTCCACTTGGCCTAAAGTTTCCATAGCTCACCCAAGAATCAGTGCTTCATTCTTTCCTATGACACCATCGCTTATGATAATTTCAAAGCCCATGAAGATGGAGAGAAGAATCTGGGAAGTTGGGAGTAGGAGTCTGTCTCCAACCTAAGACAATACAGTGGCGCCTCGGTTCAAGAACTTAATTCTTTCCACGATTCTGGTCACAAACTGAAATCATCGCAAACCAAAGCAAATTCAGTGGTTAAATTTGATGTTGATCTTATGGGGAAATTTGATTCATTTCACCATCAATTCTGTAATTGCTTGGTAGAATTTTTCTGATGTAGTCACTTTGGAACTCGAGTCTACTAAAGGCCTGCACCTTCCAGAGGGGGGCTTAGAATAAAGTGCAGTTAATTTCAGTCAATTTTAGCTCGTAGCACAGTAGTAGTCCCCTCTGTTCCACCCCCAGCACTGTGACAGGCAGCTGTTCACCTGGCCTGCATGCAACCTGCACACAGGCCACCAGAGCTATGGTGTGCAGAAGGGACTCTGCCCTCCAAATATCTGAAACCTGTGCTGTGACCTGCTGTGTTGCAGAGGTGCAGGCATAGAGGCAGGGCTGACCCCAGTGTCGCTGCACCTCGCCCACGGCTGCAAGCCTCTCTTCTCCAGCAGATGTGACTTCTAGGGGAGTTACAGGGCTATGCCTCCCAACATCCCACCCTTTCATCATTCTCTTTCCAACTTTTGGGATACACACATTAAAGATTAGGTCATTAAAAATAGTTTCCCCACACATATGGGGGAAACTCAGACGTGACCACAGATATCCAGGGAAGGGTATAGGCTCAGAAGAGATCTGGGAAGACTGTAAGTTTACACACCTGGCTAACCTTTGACATAGAGATATCCTACAACAATGAAACAAAAACAAATCAGTACCAAAACCAGCAAACCATGGGGAAGGCAGATAATAATTACAAGATTATTAGATTCAACTGTCCAGTTTTCACAAAAACAAATAATTAGGAATGTACAATCCTTTCAATGGGTGGGGGGTCAACAGAAACTATCCCTGAGAAATACCTGGTGGTAGACCTACTAGACAAAGACTTTAAAATAATGATCTTAAAAATGTCCATAGTATTAAGGAACAATGTGGAAAAAGTCAAGAAACTGATTATAAACAAAATCGGAACATCACTAAAAAGATAAAATACTTAACAAGAGAATACAAAGTTTTGGAGCTGAAATGATTGAAATAAAAAATTAACTACAGGGACTTAATGGTAAGATCTGAGAAGACAGAAGAAACACCTATGGAACAGAGTGGAGAGCTCAGAAATAGCATACATAGCTAAGTGATTTGCTACAAAACATCAAGACTATGCAGTGGGGGAAAGAACTGTCTTTTAACAAATGGTGCTGGGAAAACAGTATACCCAACCAGGAGACCAAGTCTTTAATCATAATGGACATGTGGGGACATTTGCTATTCAAGTCATAGCAAACATTATAGTACTTCACTTAAAATCAGCAATAGAATTATATGATTCAGAAGTTCCACTTTTCAGTGTTACCTGAAAGAATTTAAATCAGGGCCTTGAAGAAATACTTGTTTCTTCATGTTTATGGCAGCACTATAAGCACAATAGTTGTAATGCAGAAGCAACCCCAGTGTCCATCAATACATGAATGGTAAGCAACATGTGGCCTATATTTAAAAAACAGCATTATTCAGCCTTAACACACTTGAGACAGCATGGATAAATTGAGGACATTTTTTAAGAGAAGTAGACAGTCACCATAAGACAAATATTGCAGTTCCATTTATATAAAGTATATGGTCAAAATCACACAGACACTAGAATCCTACCCTATCTCTAGCCATGCTTTGCCCAATTCTAACATTAAATTCTTTAGAGTTTGGCATTAACATATAACATTGACCATAAGTCACTGAGAAGCATTGTTCAGGCTTTTAAAAAATTTTTAAATTAGTACATGTTTGCAGCACATAATGATTACGCTCATTATAGAGAGTTGGTCCATGTACATAACATTTTCATCCCCTTCCCCTTTGCAAAAAGGTCTTTCTCCCTATTTCTTCTTGAATTTCATGTTTATTTTTGCAAATAAAAATGTTTACTAAGATTTTAGTATCTCTATTATAGTTTGATAGCAATGTACCTCATGGCTTTCAGAAAGAAGGAGTAAGCACTGGTGTGCTGTCACACAGAAGGGTCATCAGTATTATACAGCTAGAAAGAGGGTTTTGAATGTTCTTATCACAAAGAAGTGATAAATGTGTGTGATGATCAATAACCTAAACATCCCGACCTGATCATAACACAATGTATACATGTACCAAAACATTGCACTGAGCCCAAGTCAGATGCACAGTTACTATCTGTCAATTAAAAATAACTGG